ATGTAGCGTATAGTAACTTTCATCCGGTCTATCTAGATTTCCACGGCAAACCTCTAATCAGGCTTATAAAGCAGTTACTGCGGGGGAGCACATGTGAATACGAACTGTCAGCTTTTGACAGGTTGGCACCTTTTTATCTAGATAAATCAGTAGCTGTTACGTTTGACCTGTAGCCCTGACGGACTGAGGCCATACTGAAAGACAGATAAATGGTGCCTTTCCGACCACTAGCAAAACGTATGTACTGTAAAAATTGGCTACCAAGTAGTATGCCTTTTTATGATGTATTTTTACAGCCTTTATAAATGCAACTATATTTCATGGAAAACAAAAAGGAAAACGTTCTTTGGGAAAATGTTGTTCTTGTACACCTTTGGTAGCAAATTACATCTTCTTCAAAGTTTATCCTTAAGGAAAGGGTATCTTTCGGTTTTAAAAAAATTGACCGAAAACGAATAAATTTGAAGCCTACTGACTGCTGTACTGGAATTCAGGACTAAAAATCTGCGCGATGTGTTCATCCTGCATAAAGAAAATTAGGTTTTCGCATGCGGTTTGAGGAGGAAGTCACATACTTCGCATAAAATATCGCAATTTACTACTTTTTCTACTGACGGTGTCAGATAGCCAAATTGTCTTAGGCCGCCGCCATTGTCGACGGAATGTTGAAGCAAACTTGTTTTAAATGGTATGTTGAAATCACAGAAATTTACCTCTCACCTGCCCGCGTTGGTCCCGTTTCGCGAGAAACGGATAAATAGATGCGACCACAGTTTTTCTCCAGACGTTCTTTACCTTAAATGAAACCATTTACCAGCAGCTCAAGAGCACCCCATGGCTTCACAAGTGTCCGGATTCATAGCCGATGGCATCAGCTGGAGACGCTGGATTTCCGACATCACAGTCCGCAATTCTGGCTCTGTATGTGGACGACACCTTCGTCGTCATTTAGCTGACAGTTCAACAAACATTCAAATGCCGTCTTCCCGGACATTCTATTTCCGTTGGAAGAAAAATAAGGCAACCAGCTGGCCTTCCTGGATGTTCTCGTTTGTTGCAAAGACGGTGGTGACCTAGAACATAAATGTTACGGAAAGCGACGAACAATGTGTAAGTCCTGACCTGTGGGTGTAGTTGGAACAAAGATCTATACGGGATGCCAGACAAAGGAAAGGACAATTAATATCAACAAAGGGTGGCAAGGGGAACAAACACATGTTATGAGGTCTCGAAACTCAAATATTGCAAAGGAATTTTTCAAAGCAAAGTATGGTAAGTTTCGTCCCGCCTGTCCTGATACTGACTGACACTTTATCTGCATAAAGTATCTGCGTCTGCATGTGGTTTGACGTGACCTGTGGCCCTGAATAACTGGATTCTATTCGGCCGGTCACATTGATGGCGTACTCATTGCCTCATAATTATCTTACATGCACTCAAGCACAGCAAATCCTATGCTGTCTATTTGGCGCTGATACATTGTTTTGTTAGGGTAGAAAGTCAGGCGTAGGGCTTACGAATGACCACTGTTTCTACTAACAGCGTCAGTTAACCAAATTTCCTTCGAGCGCCGAAATTTCTCACATGATTCCATGTGACCTGCGGCCTTGGTACACTGATAACGACATAAGTAGATACAGTCGCCATCACCTGCTTTAACATGTGTTCGATGATGTCATGCTTGCATTCTCACACAGCAGATATGGGCGTAATGTAAAAATTGTCTTGGTTTGCGCAAACACACTATGCGGCCTTACTGATAAAATGTGAACGATGAAAAGTTGCAAGTTGTTTTACAACAGCACAAAAAAACCAAGAACTTCACTTTGTGTTCGGTGCTGAGATGTGGCCGCGCTAGAATAGAGGGTAACGCGTATGACCACTGTTTACACCAAGAGTGTCAGGTCTCCATATTGGCTTACATTTCTCCCGGATGCCGAAATCCCTGCAGATAATAATCCGGCTCCATTAATTACCCAAAACGCCAGCGAGGTGCAATAAACGTGGTGCCTGATATAGTGGGACAAAAATGTAGAAGCGTGTGTATTTTCCTGTGCACGCTTTCTCGTGATGTTTAAACATCAAATATTCCTCTAATTAGAATCCCCAGGAACAAGAGGCACTGCCCATTCTCTTTTGCCAAAGAGAACGCTAGGTTCTGGGAGAGTTGGTTCTTTTCCAATTTTCGCAGGCGGAAGTCAGCTACTACACATACAAGGGGAGATCCCATCCCTACACCACCGATTTGTCGGTAACATGCATTATCAAGACTGCGCAAGAAGAGCGATTCCTTTAGGTCTCCGATCGGCATGCCAATTGGAGAATCCTGTCCTACAGTCTCACCTGTGAGAGGAATTTAAATGACAAACCATTCAAACTTTAAAGGCAACATTCTCTTTTTCACTTCAGATTTCGATTCCATGTGGACTTGATGCATTTATACGTGTATCGTACGCTGTGTGATGTCTACTAACCGTTTTGCGAATGCATGGCAGGGTGAGTTGTACCTATCATGTGTCAGCATAGTAGAAAGTATTTTTTGTGAATTTCTACCAAACCATACTATCTTGGGAGGATGAGGGCTTGTGCCTCTTGGGTTAAGCCTTTAAACCTTTTTTCACTAAGAAAGCCTTGGTACTTCAGTTTTCGAAGACGGTGTGTAAGTTGGACTTCTACTCTTTCGGTTTACGCCTTAATATGTCCCTCCCCTTTGAACTTAGTGTAAACGGCCAGTATCCGTTCGAGCTTGGAAACCTAACTACTTGCATTCATTAGTGCAAGACTAGAATATGTTTTTCGAATTGGGGAAATTTTTTTAATATTGTCGCAGATATTTTTCAGTGTAATTAAATGCCCTCTAGGGATATGCTCAATGCTTAGAGGTTAATTTCTTAAACATTATTGGCAAGAAGTAACGAGTGTTCCTTTGAAATACTCAGCATCATTCGAAGCATGACACCCCAGCCCGACTAGCATCAACAGGCAAATGGATCTGGATTCACATTATGATGGTTTGCGCGAATAGTTATCTCACTTGCGCTTACCGTGAAACGACAAAAAGCTATCCATGCTTGGTTAAGTGGATATTTATCGGTTCTTCATCCCTCCGGACACGTGGCCGACAATCAAAACGTGTACAACTCTCTCACTTGCAGAATCTATCGCAGTAGGATTCGCGTCCCCCAACTCTCATCCGCATCTAGTCTTTGCTCGAAGTAACTTCCGCCCCAAAACATTATCGTACGACAATCCCAGCCCTCACTTCGTATACAGTCTGACGATGAACAAGTTCTACCTTTTAGAACATCCAAGAGTGCAGCTGCATTTTCGAAAGGTCTTTTTTCTGTACATAAGATCATCTTGGAATAAAAAATACTCCATTTATCCAGCTGTCATCTGTCTGACACATGAGGCTTCAAAACTTTACCTTTATCATTCATATGTTTGCCCTTATTAATTGGTAAAACAAAATTTGTGGCCAAATTAGCAGGTGTTTGTAAAAAATCAAGTTACCAAAATTATGCACGCGGGTAAACATTAAGTTATTTGAACCCTGACGGATGCTTAGATTGTCAAAGTTTAGCCACGGTACCTATGTAAGCACCTATGTAGTTTAAACTAGCTCACGAACGTTGTCGACGTTAGTCGGAAAGTAAGTTAGAGGGCATACGTATAATTTAGATAAATGATCATCGGACCAGTACATTTATATGGGAACGGGGTATATGTTAAAGCATGTTTGTACTTTTATACACGTAGGTTACGGGAACAGGAAGAGGGGTTATTGCGTGGGAGTTAACAAGGCGTGTTATTAAACGAATTGTCAAAGCTGGAATTCACCAGGGTGTGTTCAGTCTAAAACGATTTAACCCTAACGGATGCAATCTTCCAAGCCCGGTTCCTCAGAAGAATAAAAGAAGTCACGGACAGGTAAGAGTGGTAGGAATAGTATATTCTGTACAGAATAAAGGGGAGAATATGCAGTAGGAAGTTGAATATAGGACGACCGCACACGGACAAACCAGCAGATGGTGTCTGACTTTGATTTTCATATGAGGTCAAGTTTAAGTCGGCCTTTGATTGGTTGTTCCAGATGCTGGAAGCAGCAAGCGTTCCAACGCGCACTTCGAATTGATTCAGCCGCCATAAGCGTTCAAAATTGCACTTCGTGTGGAGATAGTCACTACAGGCTCGATAAAAGAGGGCCAATTATGCGGAAAAGTCAGTTATTTTGCTACTGATGATTTTTAGTAGGCTATATTCAAGGCCCCACAGATGCCGCGGTTTGTTGCGATTACCGTACGTATGGTGATGACGTTTCGGGCTAAAAGGACATGCTTTCCGTTAGATTAAAAAGTAGAATGCGCAGTTTATATGAAAATACGTAAAGATATAATTGTACACATACAGCAGTCACCAACTTCTATAGTGAAATTTGACTTGGTACTTTAGCGTAAAACTATTTTGATTCATTCAGCTTATTGAATTCTGCGAAAGCTTTTTACCCAGTTAACTCGTCATTTTAAGAGGTATGAACATTAGTTTTGGGGAAATTTGCAGAAGTCTCATATGGAATGAATTTTCTTTGCTAGTACGAAATATAGAACCACACTGGTCGCTAATGTTGATGATACAATAAAGGGGCTCCAAAATAAGTATAGTAGGTAAAGAAGATACCTCTTCCCGAACTTGAAAATTTTGTCGAAAATTGCTCAGATTCAAGTGAAGCCAGAATAAAGGAACTCCCGGTTATTTGGAATAGCACTGGAGATTTATATCTTAAAAATTCTGTTAAACTATTCTGTGGAGTTTTTTTCACAAAAAACAGGAAAAGAGAAGCGTTTGTTTTAATGCACAAATAACGTCAAAATGTCACTGTGCAAACGCAAAATGTCCACTGCGTTAACGCGAATTTAAGACAAAGAAGGTCGTACAGAAATATATTTTTTGTGTACTTCATTTTCCCCCTTTGCGTTACTTAGAAACGGAACAGACAGAAAAATAATAAGTATTTCAAAAAAGGGCAATGCTTATGGCCAGTTTTTTTGTATTCGCAAGATTATATCAGAAAGTGGAATTAATCCACTTATGCAAAAATAAAGTTCTTTCATCTCCAGTCAAAGTGAATCGTTTATCTTCAGAAAACCTGAAGAAATTCTCCAAATTCTCAAATTTCGTTATGATATTACGTTGGAAAAAGGCAATATACGCAGAAGTTCGTTAGCTGAATATTTAATCAAAGCACTTTCTAAGAGGAAACTTTTTATGGAAAGGTTTCTTTATTAATCTTAGGAATAGTAGTTTTGCAACTCCACTGCGGACATGAATCACTCTCGATAATGTGGTTTGCTATTTTGAGGCATTTCTTCATAGCAAAAACGTTGCCATATTCATTAAAACTAATATTGGAAAACACTTTATTTCGGTAAATGCTCTTTATATGTGCCTTATTTAATAGGTTTTGGTGTGAACATCGAACAGATGCAGAATTTATAAATTTATCAGTGGAGACGGTAAAAACAAGGAAAATGATAAGACACTTTTTTCGACGACATTCAATAAATGCTTATAGAGTAATGGTAAAGTTTCCCGAATATTTTGACTAAAGAAAAGTGTGTTCCATATAAAAAAAGTGGTTGCTTCAAGTTTTAAATTTAACACAATATGTAAATTTATTGCTCTTATTTTTAGCTCTTTTTACGCCTCCAGAACCACGAAATAATCGAGAAAAGTTTAGTTTTCTTCACAAAAACTCAGAACTGCCTAAAGATCGTGCCTAATGTTGTTTATTATTATTTGTAAGTTTTCCTTAATGCATTCACATTGGTATTCGAATAATGATCAAACTTATACAAAGCTATGAAAGTTGCGTGGTCTTTGGAGATTACCGTCGTAAAATAAAATAAACCTATTTTTATTCATCCACCTTTGACGGCGTTGGATAGGGAACATACCAACTGGATATACTTGCAGTATCGGGACAATCCTTTTGAGGGTTGAGGCCCATAGAGCAGGCCGCGAGGAACATAGCAAAAACCACGAGAATTAGTCCACTGACAAGTATCGTTACTCCCCATCCATAGTACCTTAACAAAATAAAGACAAGATAGGCAAATTGAATGGTTGACATACATCTCACGACCTGTGGCAATTACTTCGCAATCTAAATGTTATGTCGAATAATGTCTTTACGCAACTGGTGGAACAATTCTTGCATATAATCCTATTTACTGTCTAAGTGGCCGCTTTTGCACGCGAAAACAAATTCCTTAATGTGCGTCCGATTAAGGTGCATTGTTCCATTTGTATTTATTATGCACAAAGGGAGTAGCATTCTCACAACCAACGTTAGCATCACTTTATGTTCGCAAAATCATACAGTTAAATGTAATGTTTTAAAATAAATGGATATTACGTAATAGTTGACGTACCACTGCTCGCCGTATGGGTTGTTCCACCAACTGTCCCATGTACTGTTATCGCCCCACCACCAGTAAGTGCCGTATGGCAGGGGGTTTCGTACAA